CCACCAATTAATCTTACATATTTTTAATTGTTTCCCTCCCCCCCCCCAAAAAAAAGAAGAATAAATTGATAAATTAAAGCAAAAAACATAGTAAAATGTGCTAAATATTGATAAACTAAAAGGAAAAAAAAATAAAACGACTAAAAACAGCAACAATGGAAAAAACATATGCTATTTTTCAATTTTTGTAAGGTTTAAGCAAATAATCTCCAATATTAATCAAACTGAAAAATAAGTTTTGAAACTGTAAAATATTACAGTTTCAAAGCAAAAATTTATTAAGCATTTATCTTTATTAATAAAACTAAAAAACATGTTATGAAACTGTAAAATTTTACAGTTCTCAAGAATATTATGAAACTGTAAAATTTTACAGTTTTATACCATGATTCATTCCAGCACCAAAAAAATTTGAAACTGCAAAATTTTATAGTTTCAAACCATGATTCATTCCAGCACCAAAAAAAAAAATTGAAACTGTAAAATTTTTCAATTTTCACCGCCTGTAACTAAAACTCGAAAACTACTTGTTCAAAATTTGAAAATTTTCTCCATTAGAACAGAAAAAGTGAAGTGTATAGCAGAGAAAATATAAAAAAAAATAAGAGATCGAAGGAGAAAGACGGATATAGAGAGAGGATTGTATTCCGGCAATTATTTTTTGTTTAGATCTAGCCAAATCTAATGTAGATCCACTCAAATCTGATGTAGATCTACATCAGATCTAAATAGATTTACTCATCTTCTTCGTCGGAAATATATCTTCTTCGCTGTCGGTGAGGGTGAAGTCATGAGTTGATTTCGATGGTTGGTGGTTACCGATGAATCCCGATTAATGGTGATCGTCGGTCACCCGTAATTATATATTAGAAAGAGAAAGAGAATAAAAATGACGTGATCACCGATCGTCGTCCATGACAAAGAAGATGAAAGAAAAATGCAGAAAAAAAGAGAGAGAGGAAAACGTAAAGAGTGAAGCAAAAAACACACAGAGAGAGAGAGAGAGTGGAAAAGTAGGACTTTTGGGTCCACTCAAAAAGTTGCTAGATTAAATAGTGTACACATATTTCAGATAGGACCTGTGGGTAATTTTCCCATATATTAATTGGGTCCAACAGGATCTTTTTTAGGCCTCTTAGATTGGGCCCCAAACAATAAAAAACATTGGGTTTTGAACTTTTAATATAATATAGAACTAACAAATTTTAGAGTCATATTTTGGGCCAAAATTTGGGGTCTAAGGCAGATGGCTTACTTGCCTTAGCCAAGGTTTGCCCTGTTGCCAACCACGTGATATGTATAATTAGAATTATTTTATGTGGTCGGTTCTGGAGTCGATTATGTGTTCATAATTTTCTTGATAAATGAAATACGTTGAATAATAATATTAGTATAACAACATTTGAATTCTTGTTGTGTTACCGTCTCATGTATTACAATTATATTAGTTGAATGGGTCTCATTGTTTGCATTTGTTGCAAATATGCAAACATGACACATGAGATAGTAATTAGAAGCGTTTTGATTATCGCAAATTGGATCATCCAATATCATAGAGTAGTTGGGTTTAGTAGACCTATTTTGGGATTAAGCTTGTGATCCTAACTGTTCATTTTTTAAGACTCGTTAAACAGAATATTTATGAACTTGTAGATACACTACAAAATATAATGATTTTAGAGATCGAACTTTTTGTACTCAAAATGGACCTAAAAAGGTCATCTGGAAAATTTAAAAAAAAAAATGATCTTTAGCAATAAAATTTTGAAAATGTTGACCTTGAAATATTTTTATATTCTTCAATTTTGCGCCTCATGAATTGATTTTTTTTCCAAGGGTTTACTTTTTTGGTGACTTTTTTATTAGTTTATTTTCTTTTTAGTGATTTTTTTTTAATGTAAAAAAATAAAAATAAAAATAGGCTTTTAAATTCTATTCAATGAGACGAATTGTTGAATTAAAAATAATTTCAAAAAGTTGTATAAAAAAATTCAAAAAATACAAATAAGCAAAAAATAGTGAACTTTTTTTATATTTAAATATGTACTTTTTATATTCGTCTATACAAGATCGATCAAAAAAAAATTGATATAATTTTAAAAATAGAAAATCATTAAAATAAAAAAAAATGCCTTACTAAAGAGATTCCAAACAACTTCTAAATATATCAAAAACTCAAACTACCACGAAACATTAAAACACTGAATATACTATATTAAAAATATGTAAAATTAATTTTTCATGACACCGGAGGAGGATCCCTTCAGTCTAGTTTTGGATTGGAAGGCGTTGTTTGAGCTCGTAAAACCCACCATAGGTCTCCATTTTAATAATTTAAACTACTTATTTTGTCGGACACATTTTATATTTCTTTGACACAAAAAATTAAGTCGATTTGATAACTGTAACTTGTTCAATTTATTATATTTGTTAACAAAAAAATGTATGATTTAAAAAATAAATCATCGAAATAAATCATTTTTTTTGTTAACAAATATAATAAATTGAACAAGTTATCAAATCAACCTTATTTTTTGAGTGAAAGACATACACAAATGCTCAAGAAAATAAACTATTCAAATCATCGAAATAAAATCCGTAATAGACCTCACTCACCCAAACAGCACCGGTCCTCTCCCTTTAACCACGTCAGTTTCAATCAATTCCACACGCACCATGAAAAATGGCAAACCAATCAGAATATAAAGTCCTGCTGAGCAACCACCTTCGCAGCAGCTCTTCACCATCCAAGCAAATGGATCTGGGATGGACTTTCCTTAGCCTCACTTTCCAAGTATTATGTTAATACAGTCCTGCTTCGCGCGATGACCCGTGCCCGTGGTTCAAATAAATTTTAGCATGGTAAGCCTCGCTCTCATTGTAAGTAGAAAAAAATGATGACCTTTGATTTGTAAAAAATTTCAAAATTTTGTTGGGTTAAAAATTTTTGAAATTTTTTTTTCAAAATCACTTTTCTTTCTATTACGCATCAATCAATCATTTTCTCTCTTTCTCCTCTCTCTCTCACATCCTACACATCAATCAATCACTCATTTTTTCTCTCTTTTTTTTAGTAATAAGACTGATATTATAAAAAGCTTAAACAGAGTCCAAAACAGGTTTGGGATACAAGGTCCCTAAAGCATCATTACATAATGATGCCTACAGTTTTCTCTCACACCCATCTATTTAATTACAAAAAAAATTAAATCATCCAAAACTCCAAAACTATTCTCAAAACATTACAACCAAACAAATTTTCAAATTTTGTACACAAACTCTTTCTAGAAAATTATTTTTTAAAATTGTTTCACAAATATGAGCCAAACATGGCCAATATGTCTATAACAGGATTGAGAATATCCACTCTGTTGTTGGCTTCATCCATGCTTGCTTGGTAGTTAATTCTTATGTTGAAGTAACGTAGTATAAAACAAAACAAAGAATACCTAGCTTTCAAATCGTTTTATTTTCTAAAGGTATTTGAAAGGGAAAAAAAGAGAGTATAGTTAGAAGCTACTCATCAAAACGAAGAGCAAAATAATGGCAACTCCCAATTTTTCCAACATAGATTAAGATAATGCCACATATCATACATGAATAACACTAAACCAACCACCATCCACAAGGTAAAACCAAGAGGAAATAGTTTGGAAGGAAAAAATGTTCTAAATTAACATCTTGTAGCGTACATATATATTCATAGCAAGAGTATCAACTTAACAATGGCCAGAACTCATGTGAACAAAAAGCATTGAAGAAGCATCAATAGAAATGGTATTCACAGGCCTTTTTTTGTATGTCTCAATAGTGAAAATAAAATGGCTAACACAGCTCTTTGCTAATCTTTTATGCATCCATTTAAAATAAAATGGCTAACCTATGAAATGAAATGAATATGGAAACGAAGAACCAAGTCCAATGGTGGGCCTGCATGTATTTGTATAATTAAATGCATGCATTCGAAGATTCAAAGAAGAAAACCAACAACAAAATATGGAGCATAATTATATTACTTATCAACACTTGCAGTCTTTGGAGGTATAAAACAAAACCAAGAAACAACAGGGGAAAAGAATATATGAGCAAGTAGAAATATTGTCTCAATTGAAAAGAATATTAGTTCCATGCATTAATATATCCAACATTAAAATGTCCTATTGTATATCATTTATAATTGAGCCATAGATTACATTTAAGAAAATAACTGTAATTGACGTGTGTACTGCTTGAATGCATAATGCACCAGAACAAAATCATTCCTGCCTTCAGTATTTTTAGCAAGACCTTCAAGCAAGTCAACCAATCAATAATACTGATAGCAACTTTACATAATCAAGATACAAGGCACTAATAGCAATGCCTTTAAAATCACAAACAAATGCGACAAAAAATAAATAAATAAATAAACAAAAAACCCTCTCTAGAGTCTCCCTGATAGTACAAAACCTCTCCAACACAAAGTGAAAATATATTGCCTTGTTATTAGTGGTGTGTCTATTAAATTAATTTTTCCCCTTGGTACTTCCATTGTTCAAATCAGATCATCCATCGTTAAGTTTTCAAACAAGCTAAAAATCATGCTCTAAATGATAAAAAGCCAACAAAAAAAACCTACATTAGGCACACAAATGTAGAACCAGGTTCACAAATAGTATAGTGTGCAATTTGTGCATTGGTCTAATGCTTCTTTTCTCTTTATTGTGTGTTGCTTCTCTTATGAGATTATGTGTTTGGTTTGTGTTTGTAGAGTAGCTTTTTATATTAAAAGTACAAAAACTTGTTTAGTTTGCCTATTTTCAGAAATGCTTTTGGAAAATTGTTTTGGAGAGGGAGTTTTAAAAAAAGTGATTGATTTGATGTGTATGAGAGAGAGTGTGTGATTTTGGAAAGTAGGTAACCAAACAAAATTTTGAAATTTTTTTTGAAAAAATTTGTTTGGTTTGATTACTTTTGAAAATTTGTTTGTAAATAATTTTTCCCAAAAATTTTTCTGAAAAACAAACCAAACAAGGCATGTTTTTTGGGTAGTCAAAACAAAAGGAAGAGAATTTTTTGTGCAGTCCCCATAGCAACTGTATAATATCAAAGGCAACGAAAAATCAAAGCAACATAATGAAGTTCGTCACCAAAAGGATACAAATGGTGGGCCCTTAACATTTATTAACATGAAGGCTCTAAGAAATCAGAATGGAAAAAAGAGGAAACCGTTTTAAAATCTAACCAAATAGTTTGACAGTTAAAGAGTAATAGTAGTCAGTTGAGATTACACTTTAAGCTAAAGCCATGAAACCTATTTACCTTTTCAACGATCAAGTGCAAATCAAAATTCACCCAAACCCAATCATATCAATAGTTCACTTAGATGTGATATGAGGTAGTTTACACATATAGATCATCATCCTAAACTTTATCCTAAGACGGTGTAGTTTACCTTTACTTTTGGATATATTTTTCGTTTCTTTTCAAATATTACTTCATAAATCTTTTCTCACTTGGTTCCACCAATGTTAATATCACATGAAACTTTAGATCCAAGAACATTTAGGATCGAGTTCGCTCCAATAAAAGAGTGTTTTATAGTGTAGAATGCATAATCTTTTGGAAGCTATATTTATGCAAGACAAAGATAACTCTAGAATCAAACAACAAATCCACAAGATTAAATCATGTTCAATTAATGCTATTGCAGAACTATATCATTATTATACTGCTTTTTTGCCGGGGTATCTCCACACTCGGTGCATTCACTACTGGAATGGTGGACGAGCTTTAAGTTTTGGAAATTGGAATTGCAGATTTGGAGCTCCATTCCTAGTGCTCTGTTATGGTCTGTGTGGAAAACCAGAAGTGATTGTGTTTTTAATGGAAAACAACCAATATTTGAGGATCTATGTGAGATAGTGAAAGTTTGAGTGGCGATTTGGGTGAAGGCTCATTCACATGAGCTATTCTATTCGATCAATGATTTTATCTTGAACTTACAACAGATTCGGTTTAGTAGCAGGGGAAGGTAATGGCTCATTTGTTAGCATTGTCTTATGGTGGTGCTATGGTGTTCATATGATTTACCGTGGTTGTTTCTACATTGGGACCTTGGAAAGTATAGCTATTTCTTATTGGTAATGATATGTTCTTCAGTGGTTATGCCAAGCAAGGGATGGCTGGAATGGACATGAACACGGGTTAGCTGCTTGAGTGGAATCAGAGGAGCTGTGCTGGTTCTATTTTTGTTTCTTTATTTTTATGGGTTTTGTTTTGTTCCAGGTTGGCTGCTTACCAACTTTATATGATGCTTACAGATGATTGGGTTTGCTCTATGATGCCAACCTAATTGGGATTATTTTGCTTTGCTTTGCTATGATACTTTTGCATCCATCTTCTTTTCTGATGTATGATGTACTTCGTTATTCATCAATAAAGTATTTTTTGCCGATCAAAATAAATATATATTATACTGCTTCAGCCAACCTAATTTTATCCATACTTGTGTGTTATCAAGCAATAATTCAAGTACGAAGACCGAGCAATATACCTAATATAAACTACTCAAGGAGGAAAAAAAAATGTCACTTGTCATCCATCTATGTTGGCATATTTAGTAAAAGATTTACCACAATCTAGCTACAATTTTTGACACATAAGATAAATTAGGATTGTTATAGATAAGCTCAATCACCAGGATTCCTATGTTCGTGGCTTCTTGTGACGCTTCAAGCAAATGACGAAACATAGGATTGAATGCCACTGTAAAAGCATAGTCAACTATTCGTCCTGCAAGTAACCAAGGAAAAGAAAAAGTTACACATTCCATTATAATTTTAAAATCTGCCAATAATATAGGGATTAAAGCATCAACATGAGTTTCAAAATCCAATTTTATCACATTGTCATACTGAAACACATTTTTATCTCCAGAATTTGGAGTCAGTTATGCAACCCTAGAAAAATTGATCTTTAAATTAACAAAAAGCAAAAAAAGAACTCTGAAGGAGAATTTTACCAATCCAAAGAGCATCCTGTGGGGAATGCAATGCCTGCTTGCAGACTATTCTAAATATTCTCCAGGGTTGCACATATAAGTCAAACATTAATACTTCAGGCTTCAAAATACCTTTGATGTATTTTCGAACCTAAAGGTATGTAAACAAAACGTTAAATTTGATACACCAGAAATAGAAATCGTTAATGAAAATTTTCACAACCATTAACAGACAGTTTTCACTACCAGATCCATTCATGAAGATGCATTTGCAGATATTTTTAGAGTAGTAAAAATAGCGAAAATTAACACACACACACACACACAAAGAAAGGAAGCATCAGCCCAAGTGTCTTCTCTGAACCTTAACAACAACAAAAAAAAAAGAAATAAAGAAGGAAAATCCAAATAAATGAAGGAGAAAACAACCATTTTGCAATCTAAAGATGTTTATTTTTATAACTCTAAACATGTAAATATATATACATTGCCAAACCTAATAAAGAAAAAGAAGAAAGAAAATTTAACGATGAAAGGAAAGAAAAATAAGAACAAAAGGGATAAACAAGGGAAACTAAAATAAAAAAGGGCAAATTACACTGGTATTCCCTGTTATCGTGGTCTCTACATTTTTAATTAGCTCAGTTTTAAATTTTGTGTGAAATTGGTCCGAGACAATGCCATACTGTGTTTGGTTTGAGTTTTCTAGATTAAATTTTTTGAAAACTGAGTTTTTTTATTTTCGTATTTTTTTGTTTTTAGTGAATATTTTTAAAATTTTAAACATTTTTTTTTACTTTTTTAGATGCACCTTACTTAAATGTGTCTAAAAAGTAAAAAAATTGTGAAAAAATATTTTAAAAAATTAAGAAATACATAAAAATACAAAAAATGTACTAAATTCTTGTATTTTTTTAATATTTTTGGTATTTAGTGAATTTTTAAAAGATTTTTTTTATAATTTTTTACTTTTTAGGTGTATTTATGTTAAGCGTGTCTAAAAAGTGAAAAATTTGCATAAAATATTAAAAAAATTCAGTAAAAACAAAAAAATACAGAAAATAAGAGTGTAGAATTTTCTGAAAACTGTTTTTAAAAAATGGGAACCAAGCAAAGTGATTAGGATTTTTTTTACAAAAAATATCATTGAGTTTACTAAATTGATCAGTTTATAATTTTACGGCATCCACTCATATGAGCATTTTTTTATAAAGTAAAACTAATAGTTGTAATGATTGGGCAAAGGTAAGAAATTCAAGGTCAAAATCAAGCCAGAAGGTCAGTGTATGAACTAACTACTGGTGTAATTTCTCCAAAAAAAACAAAAAGACAAAAGCAAAAAAGGGCAAATTATATATACCTCTCTTGAAGTTTAGCTAAATTACAGATAATCCTGAGGTTTCAGAAATTACATCCGCCCCATAAGGTTTTGTATTTTCATAACAATTTGTCCCCTAAGTTTAAATTTCATAACAAATTACTCCTAATTTGTTATGCAAATATAGCATTAAGAGGGAAATTTGTAATTTCTCAAATCTCAGGTATTTGTAATTTAGCCATATATGTAATTTTCCCAACAAAAAAACAAATAGAAGATTCCTTGACTCTGCAAAGATTGAAAAGAAAAAAGCTTTACTTGAATATAAAAACAAAAACAAAAAATGCTTACTTTCAGAACAACAAATCACAAAGAAGATGGACAAACCAAAGTAAGAAAAAAAAATAAAAGAAAATTGCCGAAAAAAAAAGAAGAAGAAAGGAGAACCTACTTGAAGCCGTAGTCGAATCAATCGATCTGATTGAACCATCAGATTTAGAGATCGTCGTCCAGATCGTGAACTTGTTGGTGTCAAGATGGTCAACCCATTGTGGTCCAGATTTGCAGATCTTCATTGTACCCATCTTCATCACCTCGGCATCGTTAGGAAGAGTGAAACAGAGACTGAAACAAACTTGGCTCGTAAAGGAAGGCTGCTAATTTACCAAATAATCCAAAAGTCTCAAACAAACAAACTAAGACCATCTCCAACGGTGAACCAAACCCAGCATCAGATTTAAATTTTGATGAAAAACCCACTTTTTCACGCTCCAACGGTTGCACCAAAGTCATACCAAAATGAGAATTCAGCAAACAAGACATCAAACTGAGATCAAGACACAGATTTTACCAAATCACTGTTACTGACCGTTGAAAATGCTACACCGGTCGACCAACCGGTTGCCCGGCCGGTTGACCAACCGGTCAACCAGTAAAAGATTCAAACAGTTCAGGAAAAAAAAGTTCAAACCGTTAAAAAAAAAAAATTTGCCTAACCGGTCAACCGGCCGGTCGACCACCCCGGTTGTCCCGAAAAAAGTTCAGAAAGTTCAAAAAAAGTTCAGACAATTCGCAAAAAAAAAATATATATATATATATAAATTTTGGCCTAACCGGTCAACCGGCCGGTCGACCACCCGGTTGTCCCGAGATAGATTTGGTGAAGGTGAACCGTTGGAGCCTGAAGTATCAAATTCAGGAAATGACCATTTTTTAACTCAGATTTGGTGAAATTTTTGGTTCATCGTTGGAGATGCTCTAACAAACAAAAGTTAAGTTGAATAAAGGTGAGGGACAAAAACGGAGAGTAAAAAAAAGAGAGCCATGGTTACTGTAGCTCCCCATTGGAGCTTCAATTTGCACACCCCGTTACACTTTATGCACATCCGTCTTAATAAATAACTCGGTTATGCTACAGACCCCGCTGGGGTCGATCCCCAGTGAGGTGGCAGCCCCTCATTCGTTCAAAATATAAAAAAAAAAATAATTTTTTTTTTAACCAATGGGAAGTCACCATTCATGAACCCCAGTGACCCCACTGGGGTCTGAGGCATTTTTCTAAATAACTTGTTCGGAAGTAGTATTTTAAAAATAAACAATTGGTTTAGAAATAGAATTTCAAAAATTATTCAATGTGTTTAGTTTTAGCTTTCTGAATTTAATTTTCTAAAAACTGAGGTTTTTTGTTTTTTCGTATTTTTTTGTTTTTAATGAGTATTTTTAAAATTTCAAACATTTTTTTTACTTTTTAAGATGCACCTTAGTTAAATGTATTTAAAATAAAATATTTGTAAAAAAATATTTTAAAAAATTAATAAATACACAAAAATACGAAAAATATATTGAATTTTCATATTTTTTTATATTTTTTGTATTTAGTGAATTTTTTAAAGATTTTTTTCACGAAAATTATATTTTTTAAATATATTTATGTTGTCTATCTAAAAATTTAAAAAATTGCTTAAAATATTATTTAAAAAAAATCGGTAAAAATAAAAAAATACGAAAAACAAGAAAGTAGAATTTTCTGAAAAGTGTTTTCAAAAAATTAGAAACAAACATAGTGATCATTTCTTTTGACAGTGGAATTTCGAATTTTTTTCATTTTTTCGACATTCAACTTCCGAATGTGTTTATTTGAATTGTGTGTGATGTCCATAATAATAATAATTTCACTTGGAAATAAAATTATAATAAAAGTAATTATCATTAAGTATGTGCATAAAGTGAAATAAGTGTGCAAATAGAAGCTCCCCTCTCCCAACTTCCTCTTATATTATAGTAGCAAGATAAGTATTGGTGAGCACACCGGTTTGTTTTCTGCTGCCTTTGGGTTCTTGGTGGTGACTGGATTCCTCCTCCCTAATACATTGATTTGGTCTGTGTTGCTTTGGTAAGCACATTGAGATTTTTTTTTTTTTTTTCTTTTTACCTGTTTGTTTAGTATTTGGTTGTTTAACTAGGAGTCTATCGGCTCTGTGATTGTAGCTTATCTTTTTGTGATTGTAACTTATGTTTTTATTTCAAACTTATTTTATTATTGAATTCTTATAATCCACGTTTGTTTTGTCGTATGAGTTTTATGTCTTGATATTTTCATAGTTTTTACATAGGTGCTTTCCTTGATAATTTTTACTTTATTTGGTGTGAGCTTTATTTTATTGGATAGACTTTTCTGTAAGTATCATTTGATCATTTTAATAAAAATTTCTACTGTTAAAAAAAAAAATAAAGATTGAGACCTCTAATTTTGAAATTCTAAAAAGAGTTCTAATTTTTATTTTTTCTCTTCCCACATCCCACATCACTATAATTCTCTTTAGAACTCCAAAATTAGAATTTTTATCATTGTTGTAAAAAAAAAAAAAAAATCATAATAGAGACAGAATATATGATGAGAATTTTGGAACAAAGTCAACTTTGAAGGGCCAAATTGTAGATATTATATTGGGGGGAAAAAAAATTAAAGCATGGACTACAAAAATTTAAGGGGGTACAAGAATTTTTAGAGGGCGCAAAATGTAAAACAAGATTAAAATTATAGATAAAATTTTGATTTTGCAGAATCTTGAGGAGGGACAATTGCCCTTTATGGACTTCATGTGGTTAGGAGTGTAAAAATAGCCTGCGGTGTGTAGGCTGTTCGAAGCCCGCCCACGGCCCGTGATGGGCCCAGCCCATGTAGGCTCGTTTGGGCCCGGACCTGAGCCCCAGCCCAAGAACCTAAGCTTGAGCCTGAGCCATCATTTTGAAACCCAGCTCGGCCCACCTAGCCCGGCCCATCGGCCCACTTAAGGCCGACTCAAGGTCAGGCCTACTCGACTCGCCCGAGGCCCAGTGTCTTTTTTTATGAAAAATAATAAAATTTTGGTAAAAAAAATTTAAAAAAAAAACAAAAAAAAATGTTCAAGCCTGTCCAAGGCCCGAATACCCCCTGGCCCGTGGCCCGGCCCAGTCCAAATTTTGACGGGAGCTCGTGAGACCCAACATGGGCCACCCCAGGCCAAATTTACACCCCTACATGTGGCTCAATCACTGTTTATGGAGTTATAAATGCATTGTAAATTATTATTTCAAAATAAAGTGTCTATTATTATTTTTGAAAAAACTGTTGAGAAATTCATTTTAAGGACTGTAGAGTATTAGATCTAAGGATTGCTTTATTTTAGTTGTAAAGCCATGATTAAGGAAATTATTTAGCGTGAAAGGCAAATTATTGTTCAAAAGATTTTTTTTTTTTTTCTACTATCATTAGACAACCATCGGTTGCCAATCAGTGAATAATTGTCAAAAAAGTTGGTGGAAGTGGCCGGCGGCTAGAGGTGGCTGTGATATGAACAAATAGGTCAATTGGGTAATCAACTAATCTAACTTAGTTAGCCACCATGACTTTTCTAAGGATTTAGTCCCAATTGGAGGTCATGAGTTTAACTCTCCTTTTAAGGAGAATTGAATTAGGAGGCAAAAACTTGATACTTTGCAAAAGTCAGAAAGTTAATTCCTATAGGTGCTAATTTAATAACTAACAATTGACTTTTGCTAATTAAAAAGAAAAGGGTTGATTAGGTGACATGAACAAAGGTTGAATTGTGGACAATTAACAACTAACAATTGACCTTCATCGATTAAAAAAAATAGTTTGATCAGGTGACATGGACAGAAAAGTGAAATTGCAGACAAATAGACACCCAGATAAATAAGGACAATATAATTTTTTAATTGTAATTAGCTTTATAGTTCCAAAAATTAGAACTTAGGACAATAGTTCCAAAAGTTTCAAAATTAATTTTATGTCCCTTTTTTTTCACATATCATATAGTATTTTCTTTTATTTAACTTGTCAAATAAGGTTGGTGATTGAATAGTTATATAAACTAATTAATTAATGTGGAAGTGAATGAGCATGAGCATGAATTGTACATATGAAAAGTAGATTTCTCATATTACAGCAAATCGCTTGGGCCGAGCAGACATATTGCTCATAGATGGTGCTTGACAGAAGCAATCTTTTAAAGGAGGAGCGGCATGGGTGGGTGTGGATCGCTTGGGCCAACATATTACAACAAATCGCATGTCCTTTCTTGCGCCTTCGGCAATTTTTGTGGAAGCTCTACGATGGTGCACCATCAGTGGCGTAATATCGTTGTTAACTATTGTTACTTTAGAAATTAACAGTTTGTCTATTTGGTTATTATCTTTATTAAGAATGGTTGATAAAAAATATCTAAAAAAAAAAAAAAAAAGGGAAGAAAAAGAAAAAGAAGTAGATTTCTGTTATCAATTCAGATCAAACTCGAGCCGAGCATTATTTGACCATGAATAGTCAAAAAAATCGAGTAATTATTGGGTGTTACTATAGGACGGTCATGTAGTGCTTAAGGTGCTTAAGAGGGGTTACAATTGGTAGAAAATGTGAAATTTATAATTTTATATTAAATAATTAAAAAATATTAAAAGACCTAATATATGATAATTAATGAAAAATAAGAACACATTACTCTTCAGAAGCGCCCAATCATTTTCCACAAAATCCGACTTACATACAAAAGCATTGATTTCACCAAACCAATCACTTTCAAACAATTGTTAATTGTTTTATTACACAACCCAGTCTCTAATAGAATTTCTTCAACGGATTGGACCACTTTGATTTGTCAACGTTTTCCAGAAGCTCCTCTTGGCAAAACCAACTAAAATTTTATTTTATTTTATTTTTTGCGTTAATTATCTAAAATTCTTAGTCACAAATATTATGGTAGCTCAAGTTCTATTTAAGATTTTTTAAATTAATAAGTTTTATTTAGTAAAATTAAAAATATTATCAGTTTTTCTCAATTATTAAAACTAAGAACATTATCAATTTTACATAATAATGTTCCAGATAATTATTTCACTACTTAATGAAAAAAAAAAACAAAATATGAGATTAAACGTTTTTGCCCTTCTACTTATTGATTTGATTCAACTATCCAATAACACCAATAACATTAACCCTTTTTTTCAACTTTAAAACTGTGAACATTATTAGTTTTTTCATTTTTAAATTTTTTTTTTTTTTTTCCAGTTTTGCACATCAATGTTCCATCATCATACTCCTTTATAGACATAAAATTTTCAATTTTGCACAAAAAAATAATTTAGTTTTTCAAAAAAAAAAACATTGTTTGGTTTTAGTTTTTTGAAAACACTTTTTAGAAAATTCTACTGTATTGTTTTTCGTATTGTTTTTGTTTTTACAGAATATTTTTAATATTTTAAGCAATTGTTTTTAATTTTTAGACACACCTAACATAAATGTACTTAAAAAGTATAATTTTTGTGAAAAAAATCTTTTAAAAATTTACTAAATACCAAAAATAAAAAAAAGTACAAAAATAAAATTCAGTATATTTTTCATATTTTTGTGTATTTATTAATTTTTAAAATATTTTTTCACAAATATTTTACTTTTTTAAATACATCTAA